TATATATATATATATATATATTGTTTTTTTTTATTGCATCCTCGCTTCTTGGATCTGAGGTTGAGTAGCTGCGTAAGGCACAGCAAAAGGCGTAGCGTTGCTTCCTGGAAGAGGCTGAGGGATGGTATAAGCATAAGCTGTGGGAGGCAGATAAGATGCTCCTCCTGGAGTACTTGTTGCCGAAGGAAATGGATACGTCGGATCTAATCCGTTGGCAAATTGAGTGGGGTAAGCTGCGGCGTAATCGTAGAAATGCCCCGTGGCTGGAGACAATGGAGCGTGAGGAGGCATCAAAAGTCCGGGTGTAGGGATATATGGCGAAGGATAAACGTAATGTGGAGGCAATCTGGAAAAAAATAATAATCGTAAATATTCGTTAATTCGCTATAACTTATCTGGCGCCGAATAGTTTACTACTTAATATTTATTTAATAATAAACTATTGAATAAATATTAAGTTGTAGTACAACGGATTAATAATTTATAGTGAAAACTTTATAATTTTCACTATAAATTATTACCAAGCTATAATTTAGTATGGACGAAACTTGTATTATCAAGTGAAGCATACAAATATTTCCCGTAATCCCTAAATAATTCTTTTTATCGGGCATCTTTTCAAAAGCGAATAATTTTATAATTTATGAAAAATAAAAAGAAATAAAAATGTAATTCTCTGACAAAATTTCGTATAACCGAACCTTTCCGAAAGGATAAAAGTAGAAAAAAATAATAATAATGACGAAAAAATTCGTAACTGATTATAATAAAATTTGATTGGTATATAAACAAGTTATTGTTTCTTTTTTATTATTTTAAAATTTAAATTTAAAAAGTTTTCTGCCTTCGTTAGGATAATTTCTTTCAATTTATATTAGCATTTTATTTACGGCGTTTATTAATTTTTTAAGATTTACAATTAATTAAAAATTAATTTGAAAAATGTAGACATTGGAATTTTTATTTATTACATTATATATTTTCATATATTTCTAAAAATTCAAAGTTTTTTCTATAAGATATAACATTAAAAACAGTAAAAATTACAGTTAAATCCTGTTTGCTGTTATCAAAGATTGGCCTGAACATGACTTAGAACTTTCTAATGTTTTAAATAAATTACAATCTATACATTTTATTTTAGATTTTATTTTTAAAAAAAATTATTTAATTACACTAAAACAACATAAAACAGGAAAAAAAATCTATAAAGTTTTAAATGATTAAATTTATTGTTTAATTTCAGAAAATTTAATAAAACAAAATACTCACGTATTATAAATTATAAATTTTCTCTCTTCTGTATAATTTAAATAAAAATATTTACACATTTATTGTATTTTTAAAAGCTAAATTAATAAATAATTCATTTTTAAAAAAATGTCATTCGTTGTATCTCCGATGATCTATAAAAACTTTTTAAAAAATGATTTTATACTCTATAATAGGAAGCGGATGAATATATTTATTATTCAGATATAGAAATTTAAAAATAATATATATATAAAACCATCCATTAAAATTTAAATCATTTTCTCTGGAGTTAAAAAATTAATAATGTAGGCTTATATATACATAGTCCCTGCGCTTCGACCTATATCTAACATAAAAAATAATGTTTAGTTATCATTATTGTACCTGTATATAGTTAACAATTAACAAAAAAAAAAAAAGAGGTTAAATTAGATATACACGTGTATATAAACAGAGAAAAACATCACGAATGTTATAAATAATTCAATGGTTTCGCATGCACACTGTAATAAGTCACATGTACACACTGTAATAGCGAATTCAAGGTTAGAAATCAGCGCTTAGTTTACATTTAGAGCACAAGATGAACATTCTTGTTAATGTTGAGAGACATCAAAATAAAATTATTATTATTATTATTATTATTCAGAAAGCTAGCCACGTATTTTTGCTTTTTATTAAACAAGGCATGAATCAGGGAATGCTGTTTTTATTATTATTATGAAGTCTGTTGAGAATTTACCGTATCGTTAATCTAAACAAAGTAATTAAAAATTAATATATGTAATCGAAGTACTAAAAATTATTCATACCTACTTTACATTGCGTTTAAAACGAAAGCAAAGAAATTAAATTAAATTAATGAAATGAAAACACATTTATGTTATACTTTGTTTTTTTTTTCATCTATAAAATTACACGACTATTTTTTTAGAATTATTTTTATAGTATTGTATTTAACGCTAAACACTAATTTCTCTTATATTTTATAACAGTGATGGCCCAAACTTTTCGATAAGTGGGCTAAACTGCGCTCAATTCGGCAACAAATAGACCTATTTTATACTAAAATTAGACCTATTTCTATCAGTATTTATAAGTGACATAAATGTATTTTTGGGCATCTCTTTTTTACTGATAGAAAATTCCAATGATTGATGAAGAATTCTTATTCAAAAACGTTTAAATCAATTTTTCTGACTTAACAGTAAATAATTGCTTAAAGCGGGATCGACAAGAAATTTATTATTTTAAAAAATGGCAAATTTTTTAAATGATTTATAATCCGATTTCTAAAGATTTATGCAATATTTTTGAGTAAAATTCAAACTGTTTTGATAGTTTTCGCTTGCCTTAGTTGATTGAAACAACTTTTTGGCACGTCTGAGTCAAAAGGA